TAGAGTTGAACCTTTATTCATGATTACCATGATTAACAATAAGACAATGTAGAATGTCAAATACCTGTACAAGGAAATTGCTATCTATTCACAGCACATGAGGATGAGAAGGTGGGGGAAGAACAAACAAAAAGGTAAACAAATTAGTCAGTTAGCGAAGTCCATGTCTTGCAGATAATGTGCTACAAAGTAAGAGATAACATAAGGACAATAGCAATGAATACTTACTGCATCATTCAAGACAGATTCTCCAAACACCAGGGCATATAGGTTGACATCTGTGCCAAGTTCCTGCAAATAAGGCAAACAGATGCACGTATTAAGAACAAAGAGTCAAACACCAACATATAGTTACATACAACATAAAGTTACATTAAGTGTGTTGGATAATCCTCAAAGTACTTTGAATGGAAAAGGCAAAAGAATTCTGTCCAGCTAGTTGGGTAGAAAATAAGTAGGAAAACCCCCAGCTCAGAATGTTCAAAAATTGTCCTACCCATACCGGAACAGCAAAATGGTCTACAAGTATGCCTCTCTTGCATCATTCTCTTTCTCTAATAAAAATTTCATCTTCAATCGAAAGTGAGGCACCAAAATAAAAAGGTGTAAAGAAAGTGGAGACCTAAAAAGTTATTTCTATCCTCACATTTTTCCAGCTGCATAGTGCCAAGAAAGTGATTTTATAGACAAATTTCATAATTAATTACATATCATTAAATCAAATATCATCTAAGGAAAAGTAGCAGCAACTTGAGCAACGAACAAGTAAGCTAGTGAAGAAGAATGCCAAAGAATCCCACTTACCAACGCACCATGGCATTTGAGCGCTTATCCATATTGGATTAAAAAAATAATAATTATTATTAATTGAATATTAGAAGTTGGAATACATAACTGCAGTACTGGAGGCAATAAAAATTATATGAGAAAAAATGAATACGTAGCATCACCTGAAATATGGACAGAACAGTAACAGGATCCGTTGCTGATATCAAAGCACCAAACATTAGGCATTCCACAAAAGGAAGTTTATACATGAGGTAGAGTAAACCACCAAGATAACTGCAGCATATAGGAGGAAAATGCTAGCATGAAATCAATAAACTCTAATGAACCAACAAGCAAAAATAGCTAAACACAATGGAAAAACATAAATTAGGGGAAGGTAACTCACACTAAAACACCAGTGACTACTGAAGCAATAAAGGTACCAAATATAGCAAATGTCACAATTGCTCCAAAATTTGAGAAGAAAGGTTTCTGTCCCGACAAAAATCAAAAAATTAGTAAAGCTATCCAGAGAAAAACAAGGTGCAAGCTCAAAAGCAGGTAGATGGACGCACTCACAGGTGATAGACTGAAACCGGACTGAGTAAACTCAAAAGTCAAGGAAAAGATAGCAATATGGTAGACCCATATAAATAGATAACATCAGTTATATAATAATAAAAAAGGAGACCAATATAACAATCTCCGCTGAGGATATAATATAATGGGAGGCAACAGGAACAGGAAGAAAAATTCCTCATGAAAATTGAACCACGCCCTGTAAAAGAAAACCAAAGTAAAAAATCATAAGTCAGCTCTTGAAACAAACAAGATCCAAACAAAAGTCTCGTCATTCAAATTTTGTAAAAGGATAGTACAACCGATTGGCATTGCAACAAACCTGATACTAGTTTCTGTGTCTGAAACGTTAGCAAGTACACCAACAATTAAACCTGCAAAAGCAAGTCAATTTTACAAAAATTGTGGAAAAATAACAATGACCCCTGAGAGAAGAAAAAAACAAAAATATCAATTAAACGAACAGCGATCACCGTAAGAGTACCTATAAGAAGAGAAGCGCTTGCTTCAGGGATAACATATATCCGCTTGCGACGTAGGACGTGGCCAAGAACGAAAGACAAAACCAACATCATGATCTGAAGAAGAATTCCCACTCCGGCAGCTTGCTGCTCCTTGCCCGGAGCCCCATGAGCATCGGCCGGAGAAATATCATTCTCCACGCCCATTCTGGAAACTTCGCTGGAAGCAGTTGCTTCCGCCAACGCCTGTATCGCTCGAATCAAATATGATGATCGTCTTCCAGGACCCACCCCCCAGTTCTTCTCCCTCGCTTTTCTTTCTCTATTCTCAGGTTTGGACTTTTTGCCTCCGTAATCACGGAACGAGATCAAAAAAACATTAAAAACGATATGTCTGATGAGATCTAATGTAAATTATTAATTATTAACTAGTAACAATTCAAATAACGCTTGTATAATCTAAAGAGGCTTTGTCATCAAGGAAAGCTGGCGTTTGACCAACAAATCAAACTACATATTCATTATGATGGGGTTTATGCAATTTGTTAAAAATTTTTAATAAAAAGATTTGAAAATACTAAAATAAAGAGCACAGGTTTTTTTTAATGGTTTGCTACTCTTATACTACCTCACGTTCTTAATATAAGATCTCGTTTGATTTTTATTTTGGTTCTAAATATAAACCTCAATCCACTTATTTCTAATATTTATGTATTTTTTTCCAAGATAGTCTTTTTAACAATAATAATTCTAGCCAACACTTAATTAGTAAGGATATTTTAGGAAAGATAATACTTATTTATTACAAATAACTAACTTAACTTATTTTCTTAATCTCATTAAATTAGTCAACCAGCTTTTATAATTAAGACCGGAGGTAGTACCTTAATTTACAACTCTCTAATCATTAATTTATCAGCAAAATTCGTCTATGAAATTAATAAAAATACAACTTGTTAAGCATACGATGTTGGCCAAAAAAAGAATAAACACAATGATTTCTCGTGGTTTATTTATCATATTACCTTATTTATATCTTTGTTACTACTCTACCGGTCCTTAATATAGAACCCAATTTTGAGTTGGTTTGGTTCTAAATATAAGACCCATTTCTCATATTTATCAATTATCTCTAAATTACCCCTATGGATACTCTCTCAACCATAATCAAGTAGAAAAGGGAGAGGGGGTATTAAGAAACATGATTATGGTATTTAGGAAAAGATGTCACTTTTCTAATAACTAATTTACCTAACTTCCTTAATCTAATCAAACAGTTAAATGGATCTTATATTAAGGACCGGATGAGTACAAATTTATAAATAAGATTTTCAGGCAAAAAATTATGAATAAGATTTGTCTATTTATGACGGAAGAGGAATAGTTTTCAAGATTTCTGGTAGCTTGATGCTCATGCTCCTTAGTTTATAACTTTGTAACAATTAATTTGCAAATAAAATTCATTTATTTATAAAAAAAATAAAAAAATTAACTTGTCAAAGTTATTATGATATCTAACGAATCAATACATTTATTCCACATGATTTGTAACTTGGTAATTACTAATTTGCAAGTGAGATTTATTGTTTTGCTACAAGGGTTTACTATATCACTAAGGAACCTTTGGTTCTTATTTTGGATTTCTAAACTATTTTGGTTCTTAAATAAGATTAACTAAATCTTTTTGATCCTCAAATGTTATCCTCGCGTTAATTCTTATTCTAATATATAATGTTTGTTTGAAAACTTTAAGATGCTTTTGTGAAAATATTAACACATCAATTTTTAACAATCACACGTTAACGAAGTGTTTTTAATGAAAAGATGTGTTTTAAGTGTCAATTTTGACATCAGGACACTAAAATTATTTGAAAAGCTTGTTTTCACTCTTTGTTCCATATTTAGTTATCTTTATTTAAAAAGTTTATTTTTTCTTTATGAAATTCTTAGCACGTTAATTTCAATTCTAATGTGTTACCCTCAGTTTCCAAAGAATCAAAGTTTTGCCTTCATAGCAATTTTAACGCATCAATCTTTTTCTTTTTCTTTTTGAGTGAAAAGTACTTTTTATTCAAAAGCAAAGAAACGTACAAATAGTTACAAGCCGGAAAAGGTAAAACTACACAGAGATGCTATTAGCCTAAGCTTAACCGCTCATGAAATTCTTTCGCGCGGATGGTGTGGTGGCTTAAGGCAATAGCCTCATTTACAAGTTTAACGACATCAAGTATCTTGGCAAAACAACTGACTAAAGATGCACCAGTTCTTGTCCCGTTTCTTTGGGTTGATGTCATCCTCAAACCATTCTCTGAGTGTCTTCTGGCAAAATTCCACTTGGAGATGAGGGGGTATAATCAGGTTCCAGCATGAGGCGGCATTAGTACCCTCCCTAAGAACATGATTTAGGTCCTTAGAACCGTTTTCACAAAGTTTGCACCATTCATCTGAAGCCATGTGTCTCTTGACTCTTTCCGTGTTGGTTAACAGTTTATTGCTTAGTGCCAACCATAAAAAGGCTCAAGTTCGTTGTGCTCCTGGCCATCACCAAGCAAGCTGCCACTCCTTTCTTTCTACGTTCCAGTCCTCCTCCTTGATTAGCTGATAAGCTGTTTGCACTGTGAAAATGCCAGAGGATGAATAGCTCTAGTTGCATTGGTCTAGCTGTGAAGGATTCCTTGGGGTTCCATGATCTATAGTTAACTTGATTATCCTTGTAGGTAATCTGTCTCCAATATTCTGCTAGTCCTATGAGCCACTTGGTGAAATCAAGTGATTTATTGGCTTGCTAAGCTCCTCCTCTGGGATGGGTGCGAAGGAGAGGTAGTGTAGCGGTCCAAGCTCCCTAATTCAGTGATCAGTCCAAAATCTGGCTTTTTCCCCATTTCAAATGGTCCATTTGAGACCCATTTCTAGGTCCTCCCATAAGGTGCCAAGGTTTCTCTAGAGGTGTGATCCCTTCTTGGATTTGACAGCTTTTTTCTTTTTTGGTACAAAAGAAGGCTAAAGCCCAAATTAAATACTATTAGGATTGATTCCTACGCAATCCTGATCCACTAGCATTTGCAAACTCTCGGGGTATTTATCCCAAAACGAGGATTGAGAGATGCCCATCTTCGCAAGCCCATCAGCCACCTTGTTCCTTTCTCTTGTTATATGCTCCAGCTCAATTGTCCAACTGAAATTCAGTAATTCCTAGATTCTAAATAGGACAAGATTTCCATTTTGAGACTCATCCTTCCTCATGAGTTGCTCAATAAGAGTCTTGGCATCAGATTCCAGAATCACACGTTTGAATCCAAAATCCCAAGCTAAGGATAGTCCCTTAAGGATCGCCCACTCTTCTGCTTCAGCCGCACTGCAAGTACCAATTAAGAAACAGAACCCCACAATCCAGGTTCCAGCTTGATCCCTGATGACCCCTCCACAACCTGCCTTCGTGGATCGTTGGTTCATAGCTCCATCTACATTCAACTTCACCCAACTTTCCGGGGGGGGGAATCCACTTATCATTCTTCCTATCAGATTCAGCAATGAGTTTACTGCCCTCTTCCGTTCTAGTTGCAAAAAATCTCCAACAATTTAGTATATGATATCCCGGATTCCTAGGTCTGCAGTTGATATCATTCCCAAACATAGTCTTGTTACGCCAATTCCATAATTTCCAAACTGCTACAGCCCAAATAATATCCCAGCTGACGTCCTCAATCATTCCCATATTAACTTTCAGATTCATTGTAAACCATTCTTGAAGAGAAGCAGCAAAAAAATCTGAAGTATATCTCTTGTTAAGAAGTTGTAACCAAAGCTGCTTAGCATAGAAGCAGTCTCTTAAAACGTGAAGAATGTCTTCGGTTCCTCTGTGACAATAATAACATACTGCTGAATCCGCACACCATCTGCTTCTCCACAAGTTTGTTGGAAGCCTATTATTAAAGGCTCTCCAAAGGAAGACTCTGATTCTCTCAGCCCCTTTCCACTTCCATATCAGTTTATAAATTGGATTAAAGAGAGCCCTGTCATTTTCTTCAATTAGAAAATAAGCACTTTTAACACTAAACATGCCATTACTTGTTTCACTCCAAATCATTACATCATTTCCAGCCCCCTCTATAGGAGGTAAGACACTGATGAGTCTCTGTATAACTTCCTTCTTAACAATCGTGTTTAGCCTCTGAAAATCCCATGTCCCATATTTCGTCCAATCAGCTACAGAGCTTGCTTCCTCCTCTTGCGTTAAAGGTCTGATGCACATATCCTTAATTTTCATATCTGGGAGTAGCCACACATCATTAAAGAAATTTACAGATGGACCATTCCTGACTTGCCATTTAGTCCCATTTTCAATAATGTCTGCTTGCTTGCAAATAAAGCTCCAGAGTTTAGAGTCCCCTGGAAAAGCAGTCAGCAAGCATTCCTCATCACGTAACATATACTTCTGCTGCAAAATATCCACCCATAATCCATTTTCACCTCTGATTAGTTTCCAGGCTAGTTTTGCTCCATAAGCTCTGTTGACAGAAGCAAGTCTTTTGAAACCCAGTCCACCATGGGATTTAGGTAGCGTCACTTGATGCCATCCAATAGGGTGATATCCATGGGAATGTTGGTTATTTCCCCATATGAAGTTTCTTTGCAATCTCTCTACCTCCTCATAAATTTTCTTTGGTAATAGGGCCACTTGCATAGGGTAAAGGGGAATATAGCTCACCACAGATTTGGCCAGTGTGATTCTTCCTGCCAGAGATAAACTATCGGCTTTCCACGCTGACAGCTTCGATTGCACTCGATCAATAACATATTGGAAGCTTTCCTTAGGTTTCCTAGTAGTAGAGAGAGGAAAACCCAGGTACTTGCCCATTTCAGCAGTGACTTTCATCTGAGCAATATTTCTTATTCTTTCTTTGATTGTTCTATCCACTTTTGGGGAGAAAGTTAAGGAGGACTTGCTTTTGTTAACAAGTTCTCCAGAAGCTCGAGAGAAATTCTGCAGGCACTCCATCATGCAGTGAGCTTGTCTTTCAGTAGCAACACCAAACAAGAGTAAATCATCAGCAAAAAGCAAGTGAGATATACCTGGACCATTTTTGGTTACCTTTATAGGCCTCCATTTACCTTCATTGACCGCATCTGTAATTAAATGTGACAGTTTATCCATGCACAGCACAAAGAGTAGAGGGGATAGAGGGTCCCCTTGTCTGAGGCCTCTCTAAGGTTTGAAATACTGAGTCTTGGAACCATTCCACAAAACATTGTAGGAGACTGAAGTAACACAAGACATAATCAAATTAATTGAACGACTATCCATTCCAGTCTCCTCCAGCACCTGTTGTAGGAAGTCCCATCTTATCCTGTCATAAGCTTTCTCCAAATCTATCTTCATTGCCATCAAACCCTTCTTGTTTTTATTCTTTTTCATGGTATGCATTATCTCCTGCCCAATTATTATGTTATCCTGAATGTGTCTCCCTTTAATAAAACTTGCTTGGAAGGGGGAGATCAGGTCATTCATCACCATCTTCAATCTTTGGGTCAACACTTTAGTGATACACTTATAATGCACAGAACACAAAGCAATTGGTCTGAATTGAGTCACCAACTCTGGGCTATTAGTCTTTGGAATAAGAGAAATCAGAGTTTTATTTGAATCAACCACTTCAATTTCCCCATTAAAAACTCCTTTCACAAATTTGCAAAGATCAGGCCCAACTAATTGCCAGTTAGCCTGGAAGAAAATAGGGGAGAAACCATCCTCCCCAGGAGCTTTATAGGGACCTATAGAGAATAAAGCATTTTTAACTTCTTTATATGAGGGAATTGCACATAAATCATTCAAAGCATCAGTTACTTCGGGAAAACAGGTAGCAGTCTTTAAATAGTTCTGCTCACAGCCATCCGTCGTGTAAAGCTTCTTGAAATACTTCACTACCCACTCCTTCAAATTATCCTCCTCCTCAATCCAGATTCCCATCTCATTCTTTAGAGCTAAGACTCTATTTTTCTTCCTTCTAATTCTGGTTTTTAAATGATAAAATCGTGTATTCCTATCCCCTTCAGTAATCCAAATTGTTCTAGCTTTTTGAAACCATTTAAGCTCCTCTAATTTTAAAACTTCCTCTAATTCCTCCTGCAATTCCACCTCCAGTTTGCAAAGGAAATGTGAAAAGGGGTAACCATCAAAGTTTTGAATTCCATTTAATCTAGCCAGAATCTGTCTCTTCCTTTTTTCTACAAGGCCAAAAACATCTCTATTCCAACTAAGCAAAGAGTTCTTAATGTTGTTCAAAGCTTCATTGAAATCGTTCCTAAAAAGCCACTTCTCTTTAATCAAGTCTTTAAAATTGGCATGTTCAATCCACATAGCCTCAAATCTAAAAGGTTTAGGACCTTTCGAAGTAATGAAAGAATCAGACAGCAGCAAATTTAGAGGATTATGATCTGAAAAATTCGTACGAGGAAGAATCTTTACCAGACAGTCCGGGAAGGAATTCATAAAAGCAGAATTCGCTAGAGCTCTATCTAATCTTTCAAAGAGTCTTGAGCATCTTGCTAGTTGCGGACCCTTCCATGTAAAACGAGGACCTTTAAATCCCAGATCTGATAGAGCGCAAGCTTTAATCTGATCATTAAACCAAGCAATGCGCCGTATATTAATTTTCCTTCCTCCCATTCTTTCCGATGAAGACATGATATCATTGAAATCGCCACAAACCACCCATGATTCTGAGGTTATGGAAGACAGAGATTTCAGGTCCTCCCAAAGAGCTTTCCTCAGATTAGAGTGTGGAACCGTATAAATTGCTGTCAGGAGAAAAGGTTCAAATCCTGGAAGCATACATCAAAAATGAATATATTGTCTATTTAGCTGCAGAATTGTAATATTCACACAACTCCCATTCCAAGCAACCACTATTCCGCCTGAACGTCCAATGCTTGGAACTGCTGAGTAGCAATCAAACCCCAGAGAATTAAGAGAACGAAAGTAAGAGGAATCTTCACATCTGGTTTCTGCTAGAATAATAACTTTGGGCTTAGGCCCAGAGAACATGGTTTTTAAGTTCCTCACCAGTCCCTTACTACATGCACCTCTAGTATTCCAGTAGAAGATACTATCCATAAAAGATTTTTGTTTTTTAAAAAAAGGCCCAATTTAAGACCCTATGTGCTCTGAGTCTCGCTTACTATCGTTCCATTACTCTGAAGTAATTCTTCCCCATCTTCATTCATTGGGCTCTCCTCAAATGGGCTTTCACTCACTTGCCCAAAGGAGGCCCTTTCAGTGTCCGCTTCTTTATCCCCGGGGTCATGTGGCAGACCTGGGGGGTCCAGTTGGAGGTCCATGAGATCTACATTTAATGCTCCCTGCAGTATCTCCCTTTTGTCCCCATTCGTTTGCTCTTGCTCTTCTCCCTTGTTCTCGTTTCCTGTCAACATCAGTGCCTCCTTACTTCTCATATGATTTCTAAACATCTCCCTTGATCTTTTCTCTCTTTTGCCCTTTTCGACAGCCACTGAGACACGTTTGAACTCTGCCGCTGGGACCACTGCTAAGGATTTCCCTCCGTTTTGCTTTTGCGCAGGTTGCTTTGTTTTTGCACGTCTCACCGAATTTGCAAGCACCCCACTACTTTGTACCATATCCTTTTGTGGCTCCGTAGATACTTCCTTTTCCACATAATTCTTTGCAAGATTAAAATGATTTTCCACCTCAGCAAGCACATCAAATCTGGTCCCTTGATTTTGTTGCCGGAGATTATTCCCCTGTTTATCCTTTCCTTTCCGTTGCCGTCGTTGTTTCTGGACAACTTTCCACACTTCTTGATCACTAGAGGTGTTTAATCCATCCTCATTTGGCCTTTGCCTCCCGCTAACTCCATTATTCTGATCAGTTTGTCAGCCCTCTTCGTTCCCCATTGTATTTTTTTTCTTCGGACATACCGAGCAATTATGCCCATAGACCCCACAGTTAATGCATAGAGAGTGCAGACCCTCATATTCCAGTTGATACTCTTCCCCTTCTAGGGAGAACCCTGACATGAGTTGTTTCCCCAAATCCACAAGAACACATATTCGAGCATAGTGCCCTCTCAATTGGCCTGAAGTGTTGACATCAACTTTTATAGTTTCCCCTATTCTGTTCTCAATAATGGTTAATGCCTCTGCATCATAATATTCAAGAGCAACTCTGGGCAAATGAACCCACACTGCGACTTTATCGATTTTTGCTTTGGCCGGATTAAATCTTGGTTCCCATGGTCTTACAGTTAGATAGTGATCGTAGAGCATCCATGGGCCACCAGTGAGTGCATTGAAATAATCCTCTTTGTTTGAGAGTTTAACCACAAAGTATCCATACCCGATATTGATAAGGCTGATCACTCCTCGCTTTGCCCACAGAGCCTATAGTCTAGATTCCAGTGCTTTGTATCCCACATGATGATCAAGTAACTTTACTATAACAGCTTTCTTCCACGCTCTATATAGGCGTTTCTTCAGTCTGCCGGAGAAGTAGAAGGTTGGGAAGTTTTTATGGGGATCCTCTCGAATCCTCACAATAGGTTCCTTCTTCTCCCCTTCATCCATTTCAGAGTCTTCAGATAATGAATCATCAGAATAGCCTGAGTAATCTTTCCCTTCGTTATCCTCATCAGAATGATCTTCATTGTGTTCCACCCCTTTTAGAGTTTGAGCAAAAGTTAAAGGGGTTGTCTTCTGAGTTAGGGCTATATTGGTTCCAAGCTTCGGCCATTGATCAGTTTTCGAACTCTCACCAATCCCCATATTTTTTATCTTTTTTGAGCTTCTCATTATTTGATCATCCTCCTCCGTTGTTGGAGGGACTTGAACAGCAGCACCTTTGCCCGAGAGAACCAGAGCCATGTAAGAGCAGTCGGCGCATATACTTTAATTGCACCTCCCAGGCTCCAACTTCCAAACAAAGAGAATGTCAGGGGCCTTGGGTCACGAACTCCGATACCAACTCCTGATTTGACAGCTTTTAAATTGCCTTCTTGCCAACCATATTTGGCTCTTGGAATCTGGACCCATAAGAGATCGGGCTGCTTGACTATCTTATAGGCTAGTTTCATAAGGAGGGCAGAATTTTGGGCTACCATATCCCTTATCCCACTGCCTCCTGTTGATTTTAGCTGCTACATGGTGTTCTAGTTAATCAAATGTACACTTCTTTGTTGCTCAATGGATCCCAAACGAAATTCCTCACAAGTGCTTGAAATTTATTGCAACACATCACTCTCTTTTCATTGTTTATGAGCTTATTTGAAAAACTTAGTTTTGATTTGTTGAAGTTTTTATTGTGTCAATTTTTCACATAAAAATTATTTTGCCTGTGTATAAATTTAGCACATTTATTTTCATAGTAATGCGTAGAAAAAGTTTTTCTGAAAATATTTTTCACTCAATTTTGATGCGTAAATTTTAAAGGAATTTTAGTGCATTACTTTTATTTTTAAAGTTCTACAATAGTTAGAAACAACCTTCTTTTTTTTTTTTCTAATGGCTATATTTTTCAATAAGTAAAAATATATCACTCTGGATCCATTTTATAAGACTTTGATGGGTTGAAGAAATGTTATTCTAAACATCTTTTTGAGTAGAAATGTGATCTTAATTCCCTTCCAATCACAATTTTCTCCCCCCTAGCAAGGGCATTTTCTTTGCTAGGGTTTTTTCTTGTGGGAATTTCTTGCTCTCCTATAATGAGTTTTCCAGCACCTCTCTCTAGCACCCACAAAAATAGAGGATGTTCCAATGTGCATGTGTCTTAGAGATATTTGTTGGCAAGAGTGTGTACCTGAAGCTGAGATTATTTGTGAAAGTTGAATAGGCTTTAGAGTTGTTCCAAATTAGGAAAAAAAACCAACAAGATCTATGATTCTAAAGAAGTGATTAAGAATCAATGAAGAGGATTTGGATAACATCCTAATTTTCTCCCTAAGATTTAAATAATATTAGCGAAAATTGTTTACTTGCAAAATAGAATTTACCTTGTTGTTATTTAAATAAAGAAAATGCATGCAAATAAAATAAATTCTAAGGATGAAAATATAATATCAAGTTATAATATTAGGAAAAGAATAATATATATCGAAGTTAATGGAGGTTAAGTGAATATATAAGTAAATATCTCATAAAATTAAACTAATGGAGGTTGAATTAAACATTTAAAATAATTATGATTGTATTTTTATATATATACACATATAGAAATATGTAAATGAATAAAATAAAATAAAACTGAAGAAGTCCAACATCAACTAAATAATGAGGAAGAGGAAATTCTAGGAGTCTATATATAGGAGGTGGCAAGGTAAAATTAAACAATTAAGTAATTTTCGCACATAGTTAAGATAGGTTTAGTAAAGTATCATACGTAAATTGAAGAATCGTTGAAACGAGCTGAAACTTGGTTAGGCAGTTCGGGAGATCCAAGTCATAGTTTACCATTAGATCGAGCTAAAATTTAAAGAGTAGACTCATGATGTCTAATGCATTAATGTCAACGGTTAGATTGATATTTGAAAATTAGGAAAATTTCAATTAAGGATCACAGTAGATAATTTATTTCAAACAACCCCCAAAACATTCTGAAATATCACTACATCACCAAAGAGCAAACTAAAATTAATTTAAGAAAGGAAAAGACATTTTTACCCCTCAAAACTATAATCTTGAAGCTCTTCCCCCCTCTCTCTTAAAACTCTCAGTAACTCAAGCTCTTCTTTCCCTCTCTCTCTTTGAAAAATCTGTTCTTGCATTGAGAGAGATCATTCGTCGTCGTCGTTGTTCTGGTAAGGAGAGCCTTCGCCTTCACTATTATTTAAGTATGGAGTGCCTTCACTGTTAGTGTTGTTTTGGTAACGAGCCTTCATTGTTGCCATAATCTCTCTCTCTGTGTATGTGACCTCTTTCACTGTATTTCCATTAAATTTTTTTTTTGCATATAATACTGCAAAATCCTTCTCCATTTCTTCTATTGTGGATTTTATGGATTTGCTTTGGGCTATTGTGAAATTCTGAACCAGCGAGAAATCTTTTAGATTTCTTAGATCTGAAATAAAATTATACAGTGCATTAATTTTAAATTTACACTGTTGAGTATTAAGAGTCAGCTTTGTAGTTCCTATCATGAATTGTATTATGAATTTGCAAATTTTACTTCTCTAATAAAATGGTGATTTGGTATTCTGAAAACTTGTATTTTTGTTGTGAATTCACAAATTCCTATTGTAAACATATCTTGTGTTTAATTATTGAAAATTGATTGAAATTAATATTTGAATGATGTGTAGCAACGTATTGTATATGACTAGCAATAGTGGAAAGCAATTATTTTGCATCTTCCATGAAGGAGGTGAATCTATGATGACCTTAGAAAGAAAAATAATATATGAAATATTGCACTGAAATTGGCTAGTAACTATGTAAATGCAAAACAAATTAATCCACTTGTAAATAGATGTATTTATGTTGTTAATAGGCGTATTGATATTGCAAATATCCTAATTCTACTTTCAAACTGTCACTCCCAGAGTTGTGAATTATTTTATTCAACTTTATGAATGAAATAAATTTACTTACAAATGGACAAATTTATATTGTCAAAGGACATATCCATATTGCAAATGTCCTTATTTCACTTCTAAACTATTGATCTCAGATTTGTAAATTGTTGTGTTTAACTTTATAAATGAAATAAATTCACTTGTAAATGGAAGTATGTATGTTGTTAATGGGTGTATTTGTGTTGCAAATATCCTAATCCTACTTGTGAATTATCGCTCTTAGATTTGTGAATTATTCTGTTTAAGTTTATGAATGAAATAAATCCACTTTCAAATAGACATATTTATGTTATTAATGGGCATAATCGTGTCGCAAATTTTCTAATGCCACTTATGAACTATCGTTCCTAGACTTGTGAATCATTGTGTTCATAAATTAAATAAATCCACTTGCAAATTGATGTATTTCTATTGTTAATAGGCGTATCTATATTGCAGATCGTCTAATTCCATGTATAAATAGTCCCTCCTAGACTTGTGAATTGTCATGTTCATCTTCTTTAATTCAACTAGTTCGTTTGCAAATAGACGTGTTCTTGTTGTTAATATACGTATCTTTCTTACAAATTTTTTAATTTTAATTGTCAATGTGACAGCCACTTTTCCAAAACATGAAGTTGTTAAGCACTGTATCCTTGTTGCAAATTCTCTAATTTTATTTGTTAGTAGTACATCAGATACTTATAAACTAGTGGGAAAAAGCAAAATATTAGAATTAATTGAAATGAAACATACTCATAATATATATTCTCTGAAACTGAAATTGTACAAATTCTCTATACACAAACTTGAACACATTCTAAAATAGCTTAAGTTACATCTCGAATAGAAATATAACCATTACTATGTCATCGCTTTTTTTTTGTTGGGTCTTTATTCGTTGAAGTAGTTTCGTAACAGCACCTAACTTCATTTTTTTTTTGTAAGTAATGAGCAACCAGAACAACTTAGATTTTAGCACAGTGTGTTGTTCCTCTAGCACAAGGATAATAATCATCAATATATTCGCATAAATGCGACAATAAAAACTCAAAATAATCAATGAACACAAACATTTACTTCCACTGTTGCTAGTCATATATAATATGTTGCTGGATATTATTCAAGTATTCATTTGAATCAATTTTCAATAATTAAACACAATATACACTTACAATAGGAATTTACGAATTCATAACAAAAATATGAGTTTCACAGCTCTCCTTATTGGAACAACGATGGCAACGAATGATCTTTCTCAATGCAACAACAGATTTTTTAGAGAGTAAATAAGAGAAGAGCTTGGGTTACTGGGAGTTTTAAGAGAAAAAGGGGAAAGAGCTTTAGGGTCACAGTTTTGAGAGGTAAAAATGTCTTTTTCTTTCTTAAATTAATGTCAATTTACTTCTTTGGTCCTGCAGTGACATTTCAGAATGTTTTGGAGCTATTCAAAATAAATTATCCTGTGGTCCTTAATTGAAATTTTTCCTTGAAAATTTGCAGTGATAATAATTTAATTCATATTAGATTTATTTTTCTAATTGAGGATTTTCTATCTAGCTTATAAATAGATGACAACTAATAGAGATAAAGGATGGGTGAATCAAAAGGAAGAAGTGCCACGTTACTCAAAACTATGGAGGTACAAGAGTATAAATACTAACCTGTGGTCTTGGGCTAGTGAACAAGCTTAGAGGAAAAAGAGGATCTCACTCCCATGAC